AGTGTATGCTTCGGGTACAAAACTGGAAGTTCTGACTGAATTCCCAAAGCAACCACCAATAAACGATTATTATTTTAATTGATTCATAAATTATTTTATGATCAATATTAAACGGGTAATGTTACACAATAGCGATGTGTTCGTACATGCTTTTACCATACATTTACAATATTTTGGTTGGTCAGTTCAGTTTTCTTTAATTCTTAAACAGCCTATAAATGATTATTATTATTATTATTATTAAACCGGACGCGACAAATAAGTTATTATTTTATTATTAATATGTAATATTTCAATTTACCTCTTTTCAAATCAATTAAGAAGACACGGCTGTAGGTTTATTATTTAAACCAGTTCAATTTTTCGGTGATCAAGTTTACTTATCAAAACTACTTTTGCTGTGTTGTTTAATTAATAGTAATGATTGATGGCTGGTTTTATCAATTTTTGTTTGAAGTATTCGATAATGTGGAATGTAATCAAATAGTTTTTTTCTTATTTTTGTTTGCCTTTCCAAAAAAACTATTTATCACTTCATGGTAGACACAAATGCCATTAAAACTCATGCAAAGGAAAGAAGGAAACGATTTACTCATCGACAAGTTATTTTTCGCAATGTTCCAATATTTACTTACGATTTATTTAAATAGAAAAAAAACATACGAGCATTATTTGTCCAAGCTGAGTTTTAATCGCCCGGAGTGAAATAAAAGTCAAGCATAGGCTAAGCATAATAAACTGTTTATGGAAGCAGATCCACGCTTTGATAAGATATTCAAAGAAGTTACATCCTGCATCTGTAACAAATACTAAACTTAAGCTTACTTAAACTTCTCTAGAGTATTTTCAAAAATGTTAATCGATTAAAATCTCATTTCCCATCCGATACGAAAATTTTATAGGGAATAACACGGTGAAAAAGACGTCGGATGATAGGTACTTAAAACCGAACGAGCAATATACACGATCGAGCAATCAAATCGGTTGTAAAACCAGCTTCTTTATTACTAATAATATAAACCTTAATTAATTCTCGATAATGGATTAGTACTGTGCTCTCGTTTATTTTCGACAATGTTCATATTTTTCCAAACGGCTAATGAAGCCTGGAGTAAATTTTTTTAAATATTTTTCTTCTTTTGGCAAAATAAAAAATGGACGATTCTAAGGTGGAAAATTCATTAATGAAGGTGGAATTGCCCGGAAATGGTTTGGAAAGAAACACGAATAAGGGAAAATCCCTGGCTTTGAAATCGGCTCGTATTATCCGCCGTGAATATGAATAACGAAGCGCACCATTTCAAGAATCGAGTAGGAGAGAATCATCATTCTCCGGCCTCGCATAGTCTGAGATACCGCATCAAAACCGCAGAATCCATTTCAAAGCCGACGGTCACGGTTCGTAGCGATGGAGCGCCTTCTTAGAAACGAACAACGTCCTCCGTATTTGATTAAAGTTTGACCATTGCCTCATCCAGAAAACTTAAAACACCGGTTTTACACTTAAGGAGGACATGCTCAAGACAACTTTGTTTTTAATTGTTTTCATCTTAAAAATCTACTTCTTAAAAAGGCGCACCGAAATTATTGCTATGCTGAAGAGCAAACCGTTTCGCAATACATAAAATTTATAAAAAGAACCGTTCTTAACAAACAAAATAACCTAAAAGATTAATGAAACAAGATTGTGGTTTATAAAACATACAATATCGTTCTAAATTGTACGTTAATTGTAAATAATCATACGAATAATATCACAGTATGTCAAGCAGTAAGGTCATCATCAATACTGTTACAGTCCTTGGCAATATTGGGATGAGTCGGTTTTCAAAAAAATCTGAAACCATCTATTAAAAAATTGTAAAATATCTATAAATATAAAAAAATAATATATAAATCTATTGTATAATATTCAATTTGTAGACATATTTAAGAATATTAGATGTTCTTCCTGTGGTCTGTGGGGGTGATAAACCTATTTTTTTTCGCCAGACAGCATCTATGGCCATTACCGGCACTTCGCATATTAACAATTTTCGCATTTTCGAGTAGGGTATTTTGGTACCCCATTTTGTTCGTTACGCGTCCCCCCCCCCTTTACAAACTGTTAATTTCCATCAATTAAAAGAACAGCTTTCACACATATTGATAGGTTACCGAGGTACTCGATATTCCGTCTGTAACCTGTCCTCACTCATAACACCATGCTGTACTAATCCTAAACTAATATTTGGCGGACCGTCATGGTACTGCGCATTCCGACGACGCCCCGACCTCATTTATACACACTTACACTGTTTAAAAGTGTAAATATACACATCCTTGCTAATAAATACATTCACTCCAATAAATTCGCTCATCCAGTACGCACATTCACTAAGAACAGTTAAAAACAACAGATAAAACTTCCATCATTCTACTCCCCACCAAAAATCCGAGCCGTGGTCCTGAATATTTCGTCGAGCGGCCCATTACTCACAGCATTCACTGCAACATCCTCGCCAATAAATACATACATACGAAATTCAAAGTTCTACTAAGGGGTGGATCAAATTAATTGATATGCGTTCACTGCTCTCAGATATCTAAATAATTTCTTTATGTGGTCACTATTATGTTTTTAGAGTTGCTCGTTGGTCGGAGGGTAGGTGGCACCTTGCTCGGTATACTCTTAACCTATTGCATTATTCTAATAGATGTCTTACCGTTATCAGGTCTCCGCATAGAGGGCAACTTTTGCATCTTCTTCCTACCAGGAGATGGCCGTGCGTGAGCCGGGTGTGGCCTATCCTTAACCTTGTTAATATTGTTTTGTCTCGTTTCTTTAAGTTCTCCACGGGCCATGGCCTCACCATTTCTTTATGAACTTTTAATTTTTCGTTCATCTCGTTCCAGCGGGCCTGCCCCATTCATTGTAGATTAAATTTCTCACTTTTCTTTTCGGATTTTCCGGGCTGATCAGGATAAATCTATTGTTTGATATTTATTTATCACCTTGGTTTGCCTATCCTCACTGATTTTTTCTGACGCGTTTCAACAGGATAGCGAAATGGCGACACGCATCTGAATTTAAAAAAAAAAATCAGCAAGCATAGGATCCAGGATCATCGGGATCAAAAGGATCTTAAATCCGTATACAAATTAATTAAGTATTTAATAGGCTATTCCAAATTTCTTTGAATAACAGCCCTTGGCAATATTGGGACTGAGTTGGTTTTCAAAGAAATCTGAAACCATCTATTAAAAAATCGTAAAATATCTATAAATATAAAAAATTTAATACATAATGTATTTATAATTATATATAAAATATATAAATCTATTGTAAATTTGACAATTTTTAAATATATTTAAGAATATGAGATGCCCTTCCTGAGGTCTGAAGAGTGATAAATTTATTACTTGATATTTATCACCTTGGTCTGCCTAACCTCACTGATTTTTGTTTATTCAGACGCGTTTCGGCAGGACAGCGAAATGGTGATACGCGGCTGAGTTAAAAAAAAAAAAAAACAGCAAGGATAGGATCCAGGATTATCAGGATCAAAAGGACTATCTGAAATCCGTATACGAATTGATTAAGCATTTAATAGGTGATTTCAAATTTCTTTGAGGAACGTTGGCAATATTGGGACTGAGTCGTTCATCAAAGTAATTTAAAATCGCCTATTAACAACTTAATTATTTTAATTTGTCTACGTATTTAAGATAGATTTTCCCTGATCATGGCTTTAAAATAGGTCGAAGATTTGGCAGTAACGATTGGATGTGTTTTTTCATCAAGACCATATCGTGATCCAGATTATTCTTTGTAAAAACGAACAAAAAGATGCTCATGATGTTAGCATTTTTTTCATTATAGATAGATAAGGCTAATATTTATTACATATAATTTGTGAAAACATATAAAATAATTTTATGCGTTACACTTTGTTTGAAAAAATAGAGAGGAACAAAGTCAGGACAGGAAGCAAGAATGGACGTCCATCTCGTCCAGACGTTGCCTCGGACCGATCAAGGACTTCAAAAGTGAAATTGTAGAAAGATAGGACGAAACGAGATTCGAGAGTTTTATCGTTTTATTATTAACACTCCCACGGTCGAATTTCAGCTCGGAACAATAAATATTAAATACGGAAAAAACTGTTTTTAAATGAAATTTGTTTCGATTCAATCCAGCCAAGGTAGATGGTTAAATGTTTTTAAATTTAAAGCGTCAGGTAAACAATAGGTTGCGAGGGTATTATTAAGAAACTTAGAAAAAATCGTAATAGTACCTAAAAAAGGAGAGTATTTCAGTTGGTTAGAAAATCTTTTCATTTTTTAGCAATTGCTCAATTCTGACTCTAGGATTGTTTTGCTAAAGTGAGTTTTGATTTCACGATTGAGGTGATCTCTGGATTTGTCTGGAAATCTGACGATTTATCAATTCTTGAACCCCGCACAATTGTCTGCAAATCTCAGAGTGCAAGAGAAAAAAAATGACAGAGAATTGACATGAAATAAGTCGCAACAATAAAAATAGACTCATCAATGACAAAACTGCAAAGAAATTAATTTTTAACTGTATTATGTCAAACTTGAGAGTGTCAAATATGTGTGTATATTGATTTTGTTTATTTATGCGCGTGCTTATTTTTCTGGTCTCATCATGTATGACTTTTTTTATATAAAATTTTAAATTGGTTGTTATATGTTTGACCCAAACGTGGTCTACGTAATTTAAAGTTGCCAGATTATTTGTTACAAGTTAACATTAAATTAAATCACTCTTTTTCAATATATGTAGTATGATTGAGTTGGATGAAATTAAATACTAAAATTCGTCAAATCTGTTCCATTGCTTAGGCTTAAACTGTTGAATTGGTATGATTTTAACTTTATGTTGGAATTCAGATGGGTTTTATGAACATACTCCCCATGGAATAATTCGCGTTAGCTGTCATTTGTTTGGTTTTTTTGTAAATTTTGTCGGAATATCGAGACCCGCCATGACTTACTTCGCTAGCGTTTGACTTCTTGCAGTTCATCTTGCACCAGTATTCCCTCAGCTCTCTGTGATGATTGGACCCGTGGGAATGGAAGGCGAGAGACGCCAGGACTGCGAAGAGGGCGAACACCTCAGCCCAGGACGGCTGCATCTTTCTTCTTGACTGAAGAGTAAAACGGCCGTCGCTCGGGACTCGCTCCCCTCCGCGGCGACCCCACCCTCGGCCAGAGGAGCCTCGCTTCTTTCTCTCATCCTCCGTCTCGGCAAAACCACCCCTCCAGGGCAAGAAGGTCGAGGATGGGGTCTTAGTCCCTAGGGCAACATAGGGATGAACCAAAAAACATCCGCCCCGTTGTTATATTAACTTCACTGCAGCAAAAATTCACTGAACGATTTCTGACCGTTATGTTACTATCATCTATTGTTCATTCACATCAATCCAGCATCCTACAACTAAAAAAAAATGGATTTACGCAAATGTTATTCGGCATAATTTATTAACCGGTAATCTTTTTCTGTTGAACGAATTTCTGTTCTAGCGTGAAGTATGTGTGCCACACAAGAAAGTCAGGAATACGAATCAGATATTTCTAATCGAAAACTTAAACTATTACTTTTAATAATAAATTAAATTTTTGGTGAAATAAACCAAAGAATCAACCAACTGCCCTCAGACTTTAAAAAAAATGGTCACTCAAATTTTGTTTCTCAGACTTCACATTTTATTTATACAAACTGCAGTTCTCATTAATCATATTTTCCTACGACCAGAACTTTTCAAAGCCGAATTGGTATGAATTCATCAGGTTTATTCATAGTTCCAATAGGTATGCTAAGATTATTGAATTTATTTCCTCGTAGAAATCATGAAGGTGGGATGTAGATGCACTTTTTGTAAATGATGGCTCTCTACTCATAGATTTGTAGGTTACGGACCGGGTTTCAAGCATTAAACGCTCATCATCAGTTTGAAGGATGTGAATTGTCCAATGAGAAGCGGGATTTAATGCCGCTCAATTTTGAACGTGCTAAAAACGCGGATTACACACAATTAAATATTATCTTAATACATACTCTAAGGGAATAAATTTAAATTAGTTGTTAATTTGTATTTCAAATATTATTTAGGTACATGTTTAAAATAGGAGGTAAATCAAAATCTATTATATTATTTATTTTATTTATCTGCGTGTTAAATTTTACATTTATTTCAAATTTTTCAAACCAATCTAGTTCTCTCTCTTTGTTGAAACTGTCTATCACTGTTGTATTTAAATTTAAATTGTGTTTTTTTCATTTAGTTTGTCCTTTTTTATGTTTATTTTATTTTTTTACGAGAGCATTTCAACTACGAGGTTATATGTTCCCTCGGGGCGCCGGGGCTTGTTAAAAAAACATTTGTGAGTATTAGTGACCGTTAATCGATATTTATTTAGAAATCGAGAGATGCGCTCTAGTGTGATGTAGGTTTCAGAAAAACATTTTCTTTATCGTGCCAACGTTTCGATCTTTATTGAGATCATCTTCAGGGCTCAAAGTGTTTGTCTTCTGTGTAAGTGTGCCATTCTTGCGTGATGTGTCGAGAGTGCCCACTGGACACGACACGCAAGAATGGCACACTTTCACAGAAGACAAACACTTTGAGCCCTGAAGATGATCTCAATAAAGATCGAAACGTTGGCACGATAAAGAAAATGTTTTTCTGAAACCTACATCACACCAGACCGCATCTCACGATTTCTAAATAAATTTGTGAGAATATTACATACATTATTTAGGTGAGATAAAAAAGTCAATTGCACGAGCGGGATTCGAACCCACGATCTTCGGCTTGATACGCCGCTGCTTTACCACTTGAGCTATTGTGACCTCGATCCACTCGGACACCAACTTCCCATCTCAACCGCACCTTTTGAATTTTCCCTCCTTTTTGCCATTTTTCAAATTCGTGTAATCGGGTTGGATTCTCGACGACAAATGAAATGGCCACGGAGACCTTTAGTGAAGTGTACTTCATTTTTAATCATTAAATTCACAAGTTTCGTGGTCCGCTTAACCAATTAATATATTACAATTAATTAAGGTTTTTAGTTGAGATAAAAAAAGTCATCCCGCTCGTGCCATTGACTTTTTTATCTCAACTAAAAACCTTCATTAAATGTAATATATTAATTTGTCAAGCGGACCACGAAATTAGTGAATTTGTGAGTATGTTGGGTTCGACTTCAGGGCGGCTGGATTCGAACCCGGGACCTTTCCCTTACAGTGATGAGCGCCGTGTCAACGCCTGAACCATTGCGGCCACTGATGTCCCAGATGGTCCTTAAATTCAGAAAATTTATTCGATTCAGGCAACTGTCTTATTAACTCTCGTATTAATTTCTCTTCCTCTTTCTCCTATATATTTAATATAACCCTCATTAAAACTAAAATGTTTTTGACCAGTCTTAGGCCTTGAGAGGATGTTTCTACATATACCTCTAAAAGCTACTCTAAAACCTTCTTGTTTAAGAATTTTACCTACTTTTTCTGATAGTTCACCAAATTCTTTAGAATTGAATTGTTAAAGAACATAATTATACATAACAACTATGTTTTAGTGTCATTAGATGTTCCTAATTTATTTACAAATATTGCTGCGTACTAAACAAATAAAACAAAAATTTATGTAGAATTCTATTACCGAATTTGTAAAAAATTATATAATATAACTCTTAGATTTATGCCTACTATCTAATTATTGTAAATTTAATAATACATTTTATGAAACGAAAGGGTGAACAATGAGGTCTCCATTATTCCCTCTTTGTGCCAGAATATTCTTGAATAACTTTGAAAAAAGTTTATTCAAATCAAATAACAAATTAATTAAATTTATCCTTTTTTGGAAGCGCTATGCAGACATATTTCATGTATATTTTCGGGAATAATCGAGGATATAAAAGAATTCCTACAATCAATTAATTATTTACACCCTACTATAAATTTTACATTGGAAATAAATATGGTTGTTTAAACTTTTTAGACCTGAAACTGTCCATAATCAATAACCTAATTGAAAGAGAAGTATATAGAAAACGTACAACTACAGGCAAAACGATCAGATTCTTCTCACCCGTGGACATAAAAAGCTGCTGTGTGAATTTATAGACAGACCGTATGTTGAAACTCCCACAACCTTAGTTGAAAACACCACAACATTTAAAATTGAATTATGAAAAAAGAATTACAAACCATTAAAACCTTAGCTAGAAACAATGAATATCAAGAAATATTTATCGATATGTTGCTAATAAAAATAATTAACTTTTAAACAAGCAGAAATCGGACTCAGTTACCCCACCAAAAATGAATCATTAGGTTTTCGTTGCTTGTCATACATTGGTAAACTATCAGAAAAAGAAGGTGAAATTTTTAAACAAAAAATTTTTGTTGTAGCTTTTATACGTGCATGTTCACTTAAAAACATCTACTCAAAAACTGAAGACAGGTAGTCTTGTCAAAAAGCGAGATTTACCAATTTACTTAATTGTAATGATTACGATATTAAATATATAGGGCAATGCGACAGAAAATTAAAACGAGAATTAAAGAACACTTGCATAATTTTACAAATTTGCTGAATTTAATAACCGTCTAAATGAAACAAAAGAGAGAGCTAGGTTGTTTTGAGAAATTTAAATAAAAAAATGTAAAATTACATTGAGATAAATGCATAAATAATATTATAGATTTTGATTTACACTTTATTTTAACCATTTACATAAGTAATATTGGACAAATTAAATACTAATTTAAAATTATTTTTCTTAGAGTAAGTATTAAGATACTTTAGTTGTGTTTAGTTGTAATCCGGGTTTTTCTCAGGTTCAAAATTGGGCGGTATTAAAACCATCTTCTCACTGGACAATTCATTTAGTGACGTTTTACTCCCTCAACTGATGATGAGCTTTTAATGCTTGAAATCCGATCGTTGCAAACTACAAATCTGAGAATAGAACCATCATTTACAAAAAGTGAAAAACAAGTGATTTTCTTTATTGTAATTTCTAAAATCCTGTTTTAAAATCGTGATAAATTCTTGAATCATTGTCTATAATAATAACGCTGTCAGCCTTCAGAAAGTGCCTCAATACGATAAAAAATCCAGAACATAGGGTTCTTCCATGCTAACATATTATAAAATGAATACAAAGTAATGTAAGAATCGGCTCAGCGCAGGCTCTTCCCGATGATTTGATGATAAATAATTCAAAATGTAATTTGACCAGGAAATCAAAGGACAAAGTTTTGAAGGTGAAAGGCGGGGATTTATTGATCTTTGTAATGGTTTTCATTTATTCTGAATGGGAGGTTTTTTGATGAACTTTAAAGTGAATTTACTTTTTTAGGACGGTCGGTAAACGATCTCTGCGGTGGGTCTCTGTAGACTATATTTCCGATATATATGAGTTCAAAGTATCAGACCAATCTCGGATCATCTCCTCTTTTTCTTATCTTTGTCCTCAGCCCGGTTGGATATTTTTATCCCACTAACACCTCAGCTTCCCTAGCTTAATAAAATGCCCGAAATATACAGGTCTAAATTAGTGATTAAGACCAACGAAGTTTTGTGCTTTCCATCGTCTAACGAGGAATATTTGGAGGTCTTACTTCGGTTAATAAAATCATCGCGTCAAAAGAACTTGAGTACACCATCGTTTGTGAAATCTACTCGTAAAAACATTTGGTTTCACTCTCACTGCCTCAGGGCCAGAAAGAGAGCATTTGCCGTATTAAAATTGTTCAAAAGAACGAACGTTTGCAAGGCTATCTAGAAGTTAATTTTTCATATAAAAGTCTATGTTTCATAAAAAAGACGGAGTTCCTTGCTTTCGATTTAATGCAATACATAACTCTAAAGATTTTTGGAACCTAGTCGTCATTATAAGCGCAAGGGGTTGTCCTCCGATTCTACTATTACATTAAAAGATTGGGTAGTTCACTTTCAGCCTTTGCTCAACTATGCTTCTACCTCTTCCGTCATATTTTATGCTGAACCGTTTCTTCAGTCAACCAAGTTAGATTCTTCTTTTACAATTAACGAGTTGAGTGAAGTTTTGAACTCTTTAAAACGCAACAAGGCTCCTGGCATTGACCGGGTGGGCGACGAATTTTCCAAATTCTCTCCAGATGTTTTTCGCCCA